TTTCAGTTTAGAGACCATTTCTTTTGTTGTGCATAAGCTTTTTAATTTTATGAAGTCCCATTTATTCATCCTTTCTCTTAGTTGCTGGGCTGCTGGGATTCTATTGAGGAAGTCTTTGTCTATACCTGTTTGTTCCAGAGTGTTTCCTGCTCCTTCCTGTAGTAACTTCAGAGTTTCAGGTCTGATATTAAGGTCCTTGATCCATTTTTGAGTTGATACTAGTACAGGGTGATAGACATGGATCTAGTTTCAGTTTCTTGCAGACGGGTAACCACTTTTCCCAGCAACATTTGTTAAAGAGGTTGTCTTTTCTCCATCATATATTTTTGGCACCTTTGTCAAAAATGAAGTGGGTATAGTTGTGTGGATTCATATCTGGGTCCTCTATTCTGTTCCACTGGTCTTCATGTCTGTTTTTGTGCCAGTACCATCCAGCCTGTCCTCTTTCGAAGCGTAGCTGGGATATGGGTTTGGTCTCCCTGTGGGCTGGCAGAGTGGCTCAAGTGGTAAGAGTGCCTGCCCAACAAGTTCAAACCCCAGTACCATCAAAGAGAAGAAGTAGTAGTAGTAGTAGTAGTAGTAGTGAGAGTGAGTGTTCCACTCACTCTCTTTTGGAATGCAGTGCTGCCCAATTCTATCAAAAATAAAGCCAATTGGCTGGGATGAGCACTTGCCTAGCATATGCAAGGCCCTGGGTTCCATCCCCAGCACCAAAAAAGAAGACAAAAAAAAGTTAAGTTAAACTAGGCAAACGGAACTGAAGGGTGTTTATTTATATAATATTATATATAATATATAAAAGATAGTGTATATATATAGTATATATATATACAGTGTATATAGTATATATATACATATATAATATATAATATATAAAAGATAGTGTAATGAATATATATTATTTAATATGTTAAATATAGTGTAATAAAATCCACTAAACTTTCTGAAAAAGCGGGGAGAGGAGGGTAAAGGAATATAGAGAGCAAACTTGTTCAAAGTACACTATATATCTCTGGAAGGGCTGGTGGAGCGGCTTAAGTGGTAGAGTGCCTGCCTAGCAAGTGGGAGGCCTTGAGTTCAAACACCAGTGCCACCAAACCAAAACAACAACAACAAAAAAAACCAAAACTATATATCTCTGGAATTATCACAACAAACCCCCCCTGTACTATTTTAATGTATGCTAATTAAAAAAAAAAACAAAAAGACTTCAACTAGGATGTGCACGGTGGGACACACGTGTAGTCCCAGCACTCAGGAGGCTTAGGCAGGAGGATTAAGAGTTTGAGACCAGCCCAGGCTACATAAAGAGTTCCAGGCCAGGCAGGGTTCAAAAAAAAAAAAAAATAATTCAACCAACTAATGAAAACCCAGAGCAGCTGGGGGCACAGTGGTTCACACCTGTAATCCCATCTACTCAGGAGGCTAAGACCTAGAGAATCAAAGTTTAGAGGCCTGCCAGGGCAAATAGTTTGCAAGACCCCATCTCCAAAATAACCAGAGCAAGATGGACTTGGAGGTGTGATTCAAATGGTAGAGTGCTTGCTTTGCAAATGTGAAGCTCTGAGTTCAAACCTCAGTTTCACAAAAACAAAAAACCCAGAGCAAGGTTTAGAAATACTATGGCCACTTTAGAAAGATCATGCGAGCGCTGCTGGAGGTGATCTCTGCCCTGCACAAACTCAACATCGTGCATCGGGACCTGAAGCCTGAGAACATCCTCCTGGATGACAACATGAACATCAAGCTCACAGACTTTGGCTTTTCCTGTCAGCTGACACCCGGAGAGAAGCTGCGAGGTGTGGTACCCAGGATCCTGAGAATCCAGGGTTTCTCCCTTGACTCCTCCCCTAGAATAAAAATCCTCCCATTTCAGAGGCTAGGCGTCTCTTCAGGCTAAGACCTCCTCCTGGTTAATGAGCTGAGCCAGGTTCCCACTGTCCCAGGCCAGGGTGGGAGTTGGAGCCTCTGAGTACCCTGCGGTGTTAGGAGAGAACCTGCCCAGGCCCCTGTGCCCATCTCCGCCCCCCGCTGTTGTACCTGCACTGCGTCCTTGAGCCCCCACTGACCCATCCTGACCAGAACCATTTCCACAGAGGTCTGCGGGACCCCCAGTTACCTAGCCCCTGAAATCATCCAGTGCTCCATGAACGATGACCACCCAGGCTACGGGAAGGAGGTGGACATGTGAGTACTTGGGGCAGCCCATGGCAGGGGCCCTGGGAGGCAGAGCGCGAGCCGGCAGCGCTCCTGCCCCCCCTCCCCGCCCGCTCGTCCAGGTGGAGCACAGGGGTGATCATGTACACGCTGCTGGCCGGCTCGCCGCCCTTCTGGCACCGGAAGCAGATGCTGATGCTGAGGATGATCATGAGTGGCGACTACCAGTTCGGCTCACCCGAGTGGGACGATTACTCGGACACAGTGAAGGACTTGGTGAGAGGAGAGGCCAGGCTTATGGCTCCCCTGGGCTCAGGACATGGGGAGCGGGTACCGGATGCCACAGGATGAAGGAGCCTGCTCGGGGAGGCCTGAGGAGCCTCTTTCTACCTTGGCATCCCAAGGTCCGTCCTTTGTTCTCTCAGGTTTCTCGCTTCTTGGTGGTGCAGCCCCAGAACCGCTGTACGGCGGAAGACGCCCTGGCACACCCCTTCTTCCAGCAGTACGTGGTGGAAGAAGTGCGCCACTTCAGTCCCCGGGGCAAGTTCAAGGTAGGAAGGCCCTGGGCTTGCTGTTGGCTCCAGAGTCCAGGCCTCCCTCCAAGCACTACCCCTCCCCCAGGGTCATTAGATCCCCCAGGGTTTCCAGAGCACTGCCCCCCACTCCCATGCGCCCCCACCCCCCATGGCTCTGATCTAGCCTCCTGTGGCTGCAGGAAAGGCGGATATCAGCCTGTGTCCCTGTGGGTGATATGAGGCAGGCAGCAGGTGATCAGTGTCCGGCCCACAGGTGATCGCCCTGACGGTGCTGGCCTCAGTGCGGATCTACTACCAGTACCGCCGTGTGAAGCCGGTGACCCGGGAGATCGTCATCCGAGACCCCTACGCGCTGCGGCCTCTGCGGCGCCTCATCGATGCCTATGCTTTCCGCATCTACGGCCACTGGGTGAAGAAGGGGCAGCAGCAGAACAGGGCTGCGCTGTTCGAGAACACGCCCAAGGCAGTGCTGCTGTCCCTGGCTGAGGACGACTACTGACAGCGGGAGGGTGGGGGAGGCCAGCAGAGAGGAGAGCCAAGGAGGGAGACCCTGCGGCCTCCCAAGCTGTGCGAGGCATGGTGTTCCCATCACATAGCATTGGCGCAGACTGGGACAGGCCCAAGGGGTGAGAGGGAGACTGCCCAGCGGGTCCACCATCCACTTTTATCTTCACCGGGGCCCAGAGTCAGTGACACTTGGGCCTTCTTCCCTAGGGCTCCAGAGTGAGGATCAATGACAGAAACGCCCGAGGTAAACATCGCAGATTTTATTGACCTCAAGATATCCTGTACCACCAAGAGCAGGTTCTTCTCTGGAGATGTTTTTGGAGGCACATGGAGGGAAGCCTGACATTTGTCTTTCTGTGACTCCCCCAATGCATAGCTTCACCTGTAAATTACTTTATTCTTTCAGACCTCTTTAAGACTGACATTGCTTTAAAGAGCCCACATGACTGTTTTTACAGCTAGGGGAGAGAGGTTCCTTCAAGAGGGAATGGAACACAGCACAGGAGGAAAGAGGAAACATTTTCCTGCTACAATAGTTAATTATCTGAGAAGAGAGAACTGCTTTGAGGAAGCAATGTCAGATCCCCGAATCAAACAGGGCAAAAGGGAAAGGAACACATTTTAAAAAATGTTTTTGCAAACTTCCTCTTAGAGCACTGTTTCAACTGTTGGAGTGTTTGGCCTCTAGGTTGTTAACTTCTAAGAGAAACACCCACTCTGTCACAGTCTATGCACTGAGCCCTTCTCCATGAGACAGAGGCCACCCTTGAAGGTGAGGTCTCTCCTGCCCCTTGTGGGGTGCCTGCCACAGAGGGGTGGGGAAGGGAGAGGTCACCCCTGACGCTGAAGCTAAACAGTGTAGAGTTGGCTGTGTTTGGAACGTGGTTAGTGAAAAGCATGGTACCAGGGGACTTCACTCCTGGTCTTTGATGGCTGCTCACAGCTCCCCAAGTGGTCGGCCAGCAGTGGAAGCACAACGGAAGCCCAGGTTGTCTGAGGCTGAGTCTGGAGTGTTGCCCATCCTGCCACCAGAGAAGGGGAGAAGGAATGGGCACTTGTTGAGAAAGGCCCAACTTGGCCTGCGGAGGTCTGGGAGCCTAAGGACTTTGGGGAGAATGATCGGGAAAGAAATCTGGTGTGAGGGCAGGTCCTTTGTGAGAACTACTCTTGGGGGCAAGGAGAGAAGAGACCTTGGGGAAGAGAGGGTGGCCCTGAAAGATATCATTAGAGGGCAGAACTTATAACAAATAACTTCTACTTTAAGTAGTTTAGAAGAACTCAGTCCAAAAATATCCTATAGGCAAGAAACGAGAGTATGATGGTACTAGTCAGCACTTGATACTTTCAAAGAACTTTCACGCATATTCCTTCATTTGCCATTTCCAAGCTATTCTGGAAAGCAGATCTCACCATTTCATAGACCCAGAATCAGATACTACAAAGACAAACATCTTCCCCAAAGCCAACCGCTGCTTCAGTGGGAGAATGGAATCAGTGGAAAACCTAGATGCCTAGCTTCCAGGCCAGAACTTTCTCCAGAAAAGGGAGGAGAAGAAAATCCAGGGATTTCACCTTGTCAAAACCCTGAAACCTCAGTACCTGGAGCTACAGCCAAGTGGATTCAGCAGTATTAAGGAAGCCGGGGGGAGGGGTTGCAGAGAGCTCAACCAAATGAAATGTACAGGTGGACAAAGTGGAAAGAGTCCTAGAAGGAGGCTCAGGCCCTGAAACCCCAGCATTCAGGTGCTACCACTGACCATCTGTGTGAAATGAACAGGCTTCAGACTTCCCTGAGCCTTGTTCCTGTTGATTGTAAGACTCCAGTGCTGAGAACTGCCAGGAAAAGTTCCCAAAACCTCCAGTCCTTTAATTTCTCATGGCAAGCACTGCTTGCTTTCTTTTTGGTACCCACAACTTCTGGTGGGCAGAAGGGAGGTGGTGGAATGTAGAAGGAGCACCCACACCTGCTCTCGCACTGCCTGGGCTTCAGAAGCCCAGGATACAAACTCTCAGCCCCCAGCTACTAAGTCCCAAGGTCCCCTGGGTGGTACTTCTCACCTGGTGGTGACCCGGGCCCGGTGATTGGCGGAGCCATCTGCTGTGTCAATCCAGGACGCACCCCGGAGGACACGCATGTCCTGGTCAGCAGCCTGGTATGTGGATGCCGTCCACTCCCACACATTGCCCATGAGGTCGTAGAGCCCTACAGCACAGCAGAAGGGTTAGTCCCTGGCTGGGAAGCACAAGACCCTACCCCCCACTGAAGGCTCAGGAGAAAATGGTGTATGTATGAAAGCACTTTTCTTTGCCTCCTCTGTTATGCAGAACAGTGATCCGATGGGACCTCTTACCGTACTTGTTCTGTGGGGGAAAAGCATTCACTGGGGACAGTCCATGGAAGCCATCCTCAGCTTTGTCACCTTTGGGGAACTTCCCCTGATGGAGAAATTCAAATGAAAGGATTTATCAGCTTGTCCAAGGCAGGTACCTGTCCAGAGGAAAGGAAGCTCACCTGGCTGTATCATTTAGGGGAAGGAGAAGAGAAAGAGGAAAGGCATTCACAGTGACCTAAGGCTCCTATCCTGACCCCTGAACCAGTTGCCTCATGTTCCCCACAGTGACCTCTGGGCTGGTTAGGAAAAGTGTGTCCCCTGAGCCCTCAGTATCCATATCCAGCTTACCCAGCTCCTGCTCCCTCCACTCTTAGCACCTTCCTCCCCTTGGCCTTGAACCCTCACTCCATGGTGCCTTAGAAAGAGAGATGACTCCTCCAGTACTCTGTGTCCCTTGCCTATTCACTGGAACCTTTGTCCTGCTTCCTCAGGACAGCTCAGTGTCTGTCCCATGCTGTGCTCTCTTCACCTTTTATCTATCCTCTACCACCACAGATTTAACCCTGACTCACCCGCACCTTCCCTATCTTCTGCTCTTTATTACCACCAAAGTCCATTCTTTCTTTTTTCCTTTTTTGTTTTGTTTTGGTCTTTTGAGAGGGGGTCTGGCTATGTAACACAGGTTGGCCTGAACCTTGTAAGTAGCCCAGGCTGACCTGAAACTCATGATCTTCCCTCAGGCTCTGGAAAGGAAGGATTACAGGCATGTGTCACTACAATCAGGCTTTACCAACAGAATTCTTTAAAATGTAACTTTTATTTGTTGATGTAATTTATTCAACTTGTTTTTCTTCTCATTGAAACTGGGATTCAGTGCTAGAGGAGTGGTTCAAGTGGTAGAGCACCTGCCTAGGAACTGTGAGGCCCTGAGTTCAAGCCCCAGTAACACCAAAAACCACAAAAACTGGGGTTTAGCTGGAAGCTCCTCTCATCAAAGGGAAGATAAGATGACGGGTTATGATATACTAAACACTATGAACACGTCTGTTACATTTGTATCTTTTAAACTAATCTTTCCAATGTCGTGATGCACGTATTGCCTCTCTTTATAAACTAGCACCTAAGGCTCAGAACCAAAGATCAGAGAAACAGATCTTTTAGTAGAGCTTGGACCCCAAGCTCAATGGTCCAAACCTCAGGCCCCTCTCAATGCTCCATTCCCCCACACCCTCCCTCGGAGGGCAGTGCGCCCACTCAGACACATGCTGAAGAACCCTGCGATGTGCTGGTTGTGGCTGGCCCCCCAATGGTTCATGTGCTGGAACCATGTTTCCCAATGTAGCTGTAGGAAGAGGCGGTGGAACCTTTTAAGAGGTGGAGCCTAGTGGGAGGTAACTAGGTTATTGAGGGAATTGCATTTCGATGGACTAATGCTGGTTTCTTGGACTTAGTTCTTGTGAGAGTGGGTTGTTATAAAGTGAGGTCACCCCATATGCTTGGCCCCTTTTACTTCTCTGCCATGTTGTGATTCAGCTTGTGTGTGTTGTGTGTGGGTGTGTGTCGGTTTTTGTCAGAGGTTGAATGGATGGGACCTCATGATCTTGAATTTTAGCCTCCAAAACTGTGAACTATATAAACTTGTCTTCCTCCTAAAGTTCTCAGACTCAGGTATTTTACTATATCAACAGAAAACAAACTAATACACTCTGTGTGTGTGTGTGTGTGTGTGTGTGTGTGTGTTGTTTGGGATCAAACTCAGGACCTTGCACAAGCAAGGTAGCTCCACCACCAAGTTGCATCCCCAGCCCTTCTTTTTCAATTTCTGTCTGAGCATATAAATGACCCCCAGGCATCTTACACTAAACTGATCCTAACTGGTCAAGTTCTACCCTCTGATCCTCTATTCTGGTTTACAATAGTACCACCACCTTGGTTCAAGCTTGGATCCAGGTTAAATTCAACTCTCTTCCATTTTCCATGTTTGGTTGATTACTAAATCCTGTCTGTCTCAGACGCGCCTCCACTTTTCCATTTCCTCTCTCCACTTAAGATTTGATATTCCATGGACCATTGCCACAGCCTAAAATTCCCTGTCACCACTGCAGTTCTACCTCTTTTGGTTCTGTACAAATTAGCCAATTAGTATTCTTCTTAAATCAAAGTAATGTTACTTCAGTTCCAAAACCTCTGTTGGAGCTTGGGGTGTAGCTCAGTGGTACAGCACTTGCCTAGTACTCAGGAAGCCCTGGGTTCCATCCCCAGCACTTCAAAAATAAACAAGCAAGGGCTGGAGATGTGGCTCAAGTGGTAGAGTACCTGCCTACCAAGCAAGAGACCCTGAGTTCAAACCCTAGTACCACAAAAACAACAAAATAATCAACCAACCAACCATCAAAACTTGGCCAGGGGTGTAGGTCAGTGGTAGAAGACTTGCCTTCCATGCATGATACCTGCATTTGAACCACAAAAAAATCAGAAAACCTGTGTTGGCTCCCACTTCCTGGAAGGTAAGAGCTAAAACCTCAGCTTGGCACACCTGGTCCTTCATAAGATCTGCTTCCTACTAGGCCTCACCCTTGACATATCTCCTATAGCCCCTCATTTTCCTGGGCCCTGACCTCCCTGAATTTGTCACATCTCTGAACACACAGTGCTCTTTCCCAATACAATGCTAGGTATTCATATTTCCTATGCTTGGAATGCCCTTTCTTTCACTTTTCTTTTTTCTTTTTTTGGCAACACTGGGGTTTGAACTCAGGGCCTCTTGCTTGCTAGGCAGGCGCTCTACCACTTTAGCCACTCCACCAGCCCTGTTTTGGCTGGGTATTTTTTGAGATGGGGTCTTGAGAATGATTTGCCCAGGCCGGCTTTGAACCTCTTCCTGATCTTTGCTTCCTGAGTAGCTAGGACTACAGGCGTGAGCCACCAGCACCCAGCTTCTCTTTCACTTTTCAATGACTTAACTAGTTCAAATGTCACCACTGTCTCTTGTGAAGTCACCGCGGCACCCTCAGACATCTTCTGCCTCACCAGTTCACCAGTTATCCTCTCAGTTCATTAGAACACAAGGCCCTCTGAATCCTGATGGCTTAACCCAGTGCATGCTTGGTGAGGAAGGTAGGTCTTACCTGCCACAGATTGGTGCGGTTTGGCTGGAACTTGTTCCCCCATGGGTAAACTTGACCTGCCAGGACAGCCAGGAGGTAGCAGAGAAAGGAAAGGATGAGAGTTGAGGAGGAAGAAGAAGAAAAAAAAAGAAGTCAGAGGGAACCAGCAGGAAGTCAAAAGGTGGTGAGGAAGGAACACTGAGATTATCTCCATTTCTATCCCCCACTCACCGCACTGCACTGGGAAGCCCTGGATCTACTGATTTGCCCCATGTATAATTCCGTGTGGGGCTCTTAGACCATTTGTTACCAGTGCATGTGGAGGTAAGTACAGAAACTGAGTAATTAGGAAGCTTGTTAACTGATTTAGATTGTGTAAATGAACAGCAAGAAGCCACTGCATTTGTTATGTTTTACTGTTTGACTGTTGATATTCCTGGGTTCATTCAGAGGTATTTAATGTGTAGAAGTACTTAATGTGGGAAACTGTTTTTCATTATAACTTTTTGATTGTTAGGATTACAGATGACGCATTTATGAGCAAACTGACTCCTTATATTCATCTTTATGTCCCTATGGAAAAGGTGTGTAGTTTTGGTAATTATTCTTTTTTGGTAAGCTATTTTGGTCTAATTATATTTACTGAAAGGTAACTTCTACCTATGGAATCTCCAACAATGAAATTTTTTTTGTCTGTTTTTCATTCTATTTTTCCAATTCACTTTTTTTTTTCCCAATTCACTTTTTTGAACTATGTAGCCCAGGCTGGCTTGGAAGTCATTATGTAGACTAGGTTGGCCTCAAACTCTCAATCCTCCTGCCTCAGACTCCCAAGTGCTGTAAATGTGTGTAAAGGTGTGTGCCACCACACTGGTCTCCAGATACTTATTTTTTATGAATTTTACAGGTGTATTGGTTTGGGATGGGTTAGAAATGAAACAACACTATTGGTCCCTGTCGCAGATAGTGTAAGAAGCCCTGCTCTAGAAACATGGTCTCCTTCCACCCTTCAAGGTCCCCAGGACAGGGAGAGGAATAAAGGGAAGTCCCCTTGGCATCTCTATACCCTTCAAGCCCCCTCGGGCAGCAAACTCCCATTCTTCCTCAGTGGGCAGCCGTTTCCCCCGCCATGCACAGTAGGCACGAGCATCGTTCCAGCTCACGTGTACCACTGGGAACTCCAATCTCTCTCGGATGCCAGAGCCGGGACCTGCAGGCTGACAGCCAGGATGAAGTGAGACAGACTTCGGGGATTTCCTGGAAGCCTGAGTTTTTGCCACTATATGGAGCAAGGAAGTTGGAAGAAGCTTGGTGAGTGAGGACCATCCAGGTTTAGAAAACAAGAGACTATGCAAGAGACTAAAGGGCTGGCTCAAGTGGTAGAGCACCTGCCTAGAAAGCATGAGGTCCTGAGTTTAAACCCTGATACCACCAAAAAAAAAAAAAA